TGGTAAAGACAATCTAATGTCTTTCTCTGACAAGCTCTCTTCTGGTGATTTCCTTTTCTTTAGGCAAGGAGATACAATGTTTAAAACAAGTACAGTATTGACTATGGAGAAAGGACCACAGACTTATGAAAGATAAAAGATAAAAAGCATTACTGTTTCAAGACAGAAAAATCAATCACCAAATTACCAATTAAGTTTAGTATAAATGTTCATCTATACTAACACTGTTAGCGTGTAACTACTGACTCAGCCAGCTGACATTTTAACTGTAGACAAGTAAACAGAGCACTGGCTTGAGTCAAGACATATCCCTGTGTGTCCTACCATTAGTTTTTTATCTAATCTATAAGCTAATATGAACTCGGCTGCATTACTTGATCTAAGATAAAGGATGCCGAAGTTTAAACATCACACGTTCTTAACTTGAAGTCAAACCTGGGACTATGGCTATACATAAGCTTAAAGAGTGTCCGAAAGCCCCAACCAACCCCAAGGAAGTTTTGTCTGCATTCTACTTTCACTTTTTCAATCTTCTCTTAGCAGATTCTCAAAAGGAGCCAAGATTCACCTGTCTCCCTGGAAGGATTATTTTTATTTACAAACAACAAAAAATGAATACCCAGACTCTGGTGTTTGGGTCTGATCAGGCTTCTAATGCTGAATGTATGTGCATAATAGATCAAAACATTTGCTGGTTTATTAAAGCAATGCGTTTGTTTAAGAAGCATTTTAACTGTAGAAAACTATAATCCCTTAGCTTCTTCGAAAAGTATCTGTTAGGCACAAATGTGTAAGACGCTGTGTTATCACGATAAATTTTCTTCTTTTCCAGATATATTAACCTGCTGAACCGCCAGGAGGAACGTTTAGCCTTGGACGACTTTTGGGTGAGGGCACAAAACACAAGTGACAGGAGAGGACGAACAGGGCGGTCTCCCTAGCCAGAAACACTCTTACAGCTGATTTTAAATTCTCGGTGTTGCATTTCAAGCAATATTTGAAATTCCTCCAGAGATCCAGCTTTGATCACTCCGGAGAGCGCCCCAGGGCGAACCGGGAAACTAACACTAAGGTTTCGCCTACTTTCCAACTTGCAGGCACAAGGAGATGAATCTGAGACCGCCGACAAGTCAAGTCGGGGATGAAAGTTGGCGGGGAGAAGGGAGGGGCAGCAGCAGACTGCCAGGGGCGAGGACCGCGGGAAGCCAGCGGAAGGCGGGAGGCGCGCCGGGTCCTGCGGGGTTACGCTACAGCTCGGTACTTTCTCCGGGTCTCAGCTCCAAGCCCCTCCCCGTCCCCCCCCGCCCCGGACGATCCGAGGTACACCGCGCCGTCACGCCCACCGTTCCCAAAAGCCGCCAGTGTGAGCGGCCGCGCCCCGGCCCGCGGGGGGCCGGATCGCCCAGAAGCCCCCGGTGAGCCAAAGTTGCCCCCTGGCCCGGGGGAGCAGCGTCGGCATCGCCCCCCGGCCCGGCACGCCCCGGCCCGGTGGCCTCACCTTGAGCGCCAGGTGGTGGACGCGGCCCAGGCCGGGCTCGGTCAGGACCTGCAGCAGCCCCAGTAGCGGGAGCAGCCTGAAGCCGGCGGCCGGCCGAGGCCAGCGGGAGCCCGACGGGCCGAGGGGCGCCGGGGCGGCCATGTTTGTTCCAGCATCACCAGCCGCTTCCTCCCCCGCCCACTTCCGGGGTCAAAGGGCGCCAGTGCCGGAAGGACCCGGACGGGGCCGCGCGGGCTGCGGCGCGGGCCCTGTGACCCTTGGCCGCCAACCTGTGGCGGGAGACGTGGCCGTCGGGCCGCGCCTGGCCCCTGGGGACCGTTCAGTTGACCTGCCCTGCGCGGCCTGCGGTTTAGCCAGAAGAGGTGGAGCCCCCAGCCCGAGGGGCGGAGCACCCGCGTGGTGGTTGTCACGGCAACGGTCGCTGGGCAGGACCAGTCGGGGCTCACCTAGCCTCGCTCGCTGGGCTTGGACTGCGCCCTGGGCCCGGCCAGCCCGCCGGGGGGGCCCAGCTAGCCCGCCGGGGGACCCCGGCACCCCGAGCGTGCGGTCCTTACGCCGTGGCCACCGGGCCTGGTCGGTGACGGGTCGGGACCGAGAGCCGCGTGCCCCCGGCGGACTGACTCCTCAGGCTCCTGGCGGGGCCTAAGTCCCTTGGTTTTCTGAAGCTCACAAATTCCGGGGAAAGGGTGGCGGGCAGAGGGTCCCTGCTTGGAGCAGTCTGGCTCAATGGCGAGGACAGTACCTGCACAGGCGGCAGACAGGCGCTGCCAAGTCCTGTTTCTGGGGGAGCTGGGAGGGTCACGTGGGGACTTTAACTTTGTTTCACTGCAGCCTAAGGTGCCTGTCCCCATTCTGGGTGGAAAGTTCCTAACGAGTTTGTATTTTTTATTTTTATTTTAGGGAACTCTTTAACAGAAGTGGGTTCCCTTCTGACATGGTTTTTGTGTTTGTTTGTTTTTTTAATTAAGGAGCTTTAGAAGAACATGGTTGTTAAAATGGCCAATGAACAGGTGAGGTTTAATTTTTTGATTTTTTTAAAGTAGGCCACATTCACAGGGCATGCCCTTTGTCTGAAATTAGTTAAGCAAAATGGGAGAAAATAAAAATCGCTAGGAATGCCAACCTGAGTACCAGTGCTGGAGAGTGTTCTGAAAGGACAGGTTCAGATCCTTTCAGTCTTTGACTGGAACTAGGAACTGAAGTGACCTTGATTATATTTTCCTGGAACTGCACTTATATTAAAGAAGTCAACTGGGGCCTCCCTGGTGGCACAAGAGGTTAAGTCTCAGCACTATCAAGCTGTCGCAGCCACTGCAGCATGAGTTCATCCCTGTCCAGGAACTAGCTGACCATACTGGCCAGCAGACCTCTCCTGTCTCCGCACTGCTCCCCTCAGCAGTGGGTTTCAGTGGATCCCTTGTTCTGCTCCCTACTCTGTCTCTGGTAAATCCTCTCATCCCTCCTCAGCACCTCTGTTCTGCACCCCACCTTTTGTATACATAACTAAATAATTGTTTAAAATCTAAAAAATAAGTCTGGGAAAGAACAGAAGAGGGAAGGCAGGGGTGATGATGGGATGAGGGCCCAAGCTTTTTAGCTGTGTGCAATTTTAATAAAATTCAAGAAGCTTGCATTCTTCCCTTGAGCCAAAGGCAGTGCAAGTTCTGTCACACCCGCTGCAAGGACAAAAGTAGGGCATTAAGGTGGGGCCAGAAAGATGGGAGAGGGATGTTTGCTAGTTGGTAGAGGAGATCCCAGCTTCCCCAATCTCTGATCTTTAGGCTCCCACCTTGATCCTGCCGTAGGCTGTGGTTTCTCCTCCTGTGGTTCCAGTGGTCAACCATGGCCCAGAAATACTAAATAAGATATTTCAAGAGACTACATTCACATAACTTTTATTACAGTGCGTTGTTATTTTATTATTGTTGTTAGACTCTGACTGTGCTTACTTTATAGATCAAACGTTACCATGCATATGTAGGTATAGGGGAAAATAGAGCATATAGCATATAGGGCTTGGGACCGTCTGCACTTTGAAGCATCCACAGGGTTCTTGGAGTGAGGGGGGTTGATTCTGGGACCTCTGAAGAAACCACAATCCACAAAACCTAATTCAACAGACATGAAAACAAGCCCAAAGAACCTAAGTGATTTGCTCAAGGTCACTCCAGTGGTTGGTTAATTTTCAGCAAGCATCGTTAGAACCAAGCCTGGGACTCATCTGCTCCAAAGCTGGATGTGCTCTCTGCACTGTGGTATTCAAAGACCCTTTCCCCTAGCAGCGCTTGCTTCTCTGGCAGATAATAAGCACCATGAAGGTCCTCTCCTTCCATGCCCTATGCAGGTTCCCATTCCCCCCACCCCCTTCTACTATTAGCAGGACCCTCAGTTGCCAATGAGAAGAAGGGGCCCAGGTTACCATCAAGATGTACTTTAACTTGTGCATTGGAGATAAAGATATAGGCCAAGGATGATTATGGGCCTCTAACCCGCCTTAGCTGAGGGAGAGAAAGGGTTAGACTACAAAGGCAGCAGATTCCATTGTGTGATCAAGGACTTAATGATCCAGGACAGAGGCTTCGCCCAGGGCGGTGGCTCGGGAGGTAAAAGCACCCTTGATGAAGGCTTCCCAGGGAGAACACAGGCTGGCTAGACGGTAAGCTCACACTTGGCGAGGTCCTGAAGTGTGGAGGTCTCGCAGAAGGTGGAAGGCAACATGACATGGCCAGGACGTGCCCCTGAGGATGTGACAGTCTCAGACAGGCAAGATGGAGGAGAAGCCCTTTGCCATTGCCAAGGAGTAGGACCCCAGGGCCTGTAGTCCTTCCTTGGGGTTAAGCTGCGCCGTCCCTCCAGCCCCCACTGCTCAGTCACTCCTGGGCTCTGATGTGTGGATCCCGCTCTTCATGTTCCACGGGCCTGAGGGCCATTCTTATTACAGGCTCCCCCAACACTTGCCCCGTACAAATAGAAGGTTTTTTCTTTTTAAGATTTATTTATGTATACAGAAGTGGGGTACAGGCCAGAGATGCAGGGGTGGTGAGGGGATTCACCAGAGACAGAGTGGGGAGCAGAAAAGGCAGAGCTGGGCCCTTTCTGGTGCGCAGCGGGTTAGA